CTTTTCCTTCAGTTCAGGGACATTTCCACTGGAGGGCAATTCCCACTCTGCTTTCCCCGCTAGCCCGGAGATGCGGAGCGCAGCCTGCAGCGCGGCGATTCCCCAGCAGAGGGCGCTGCGGGACCGCTGCATCTCCCATTGCCAGGGCAGCGGCACCGGGGGATCCCATTGCCAGGGAAACCGGGACCGGCGGGATCCCATTGCCAGGGCACCGGGACCGGCGGGATCCCATTGCCAGGGCAGCTCGGACCGTCGGGATCCCAGCGGCAGGGCAGGGGGACCGTCGGGATCCCATTGCCAGGGCAGCGGCACCGGGGGATCCCATTGCCAGGGAAACCGGGACCGTCGGGATCCCATTGCCAGGGCAGCGGCACCGGGGGATCCCATTGCCAGGGCACCGGGACCGGCGGGATCCCATTGCCAGGGCACCGGGACCGGCGGGATCCCATTGCCAGGGCACCGGGACCGGCGGGATCTCATTGCCAGGGCACCGGGACCGGCGGGATCCCAGCGGCAGGGCAGCCGGGACCGGGGGATCCCATTGCCAGGGCAGCCGGGACCGGCGGGATCCCATTGCCAGGGCAGCCGGGACCGGGGGATCCCATTGCCAGGGCAGCGGGACCGGCGGGATCCCGCTGCCAGGGCAGCCGGGACAGGTGGGATCCCATTGCCAGGGCACCGGGACCGGCGGGATCCCATTGCCAGGGCAGCCGGGACCGGGGGATCCCATTGCCAGGACAGCCCAGACCAGCGGGATCCCAGTGCCAGGGAAACCGGGACCGGCGGGATCCCATTGCCAGGGCAGCCACGTCCCGCTGCCCAAACACTGCACTCATACTGCCATTACTGCAAACACTGGCTGATCTCAACTCTCCCTTTCCTCAATGGTAATGCTTTTATCAGGTACATAAAGATACAAAAAAACCCCATTTAGTAAGAGCTGTGGCAGATTTACACTTTTGTTATTCTTTTAGATAAAAGCTATTCACTCTATGAAAGACGGCATGCCTTTAGAACTGTGCTATGCTACCACATTACTAAGAAAGTTTCATATTTCCAGGATGTCAGCCTATAATTTAAGAACCCTCAAGCTCTCATCTCCAGAAAAAAAACCCAAACCCAACAATAATTTGTATGGTAAGTCCTTCTCCTGCCAATCACCTCTGTAAGAATAAAAAAAGCAAAGCACCAACCAAAAATAAAAAAAAGCCTCAAAACCCCAAAACCAAACCTGCAAGTTTTATCTAAATGCTAAAAAAAGAAGTATGTTTTCAGTTCCTAACTGAAAGGAGCATGTTTCAGTTCCTAACTAGTCCAGTTGATGTGCCATTTTCCAGTTGGTATTTCACACGTGAAACAGCACTTTCTCTTCCAGCCTCCTTGATTTGGAAAGTGTTTTCCTTCAGAGGAGCTGAACTCCCACCTCTCAGACAGCCACACATGTCAGTACGAGAGCTGGGTGAAGCCGCACTGAGGATCCCACAGCCTTGGCAGTGCTGCCATCCAATGCACCAGCACAAGGAGTACAAGCATCCACATCACTGCAACACTCGGGTAAAATGTTTTCTCCAAGTTCAGTTCCAAAAATGTTGCATCCCTTCAGTGCCTTGGCTTGCAATCCTGCAGTAATGATGTCATGGCAAATCACCCCATCATCCAACTGATGGATATAAATAGCCATTAACATATTCCATCTCAAGGGACTTCTACTGGAATGTCACAGTGCTAAACCACAAACCTTGTGTGTATGAACCTGACACTGAGTGTCCACCTGATAATTCAGTGATACAGCAGCTCTGAAATACCAAGGAGGAAAGGAAGGCCTATGGCCTTCCAAATTGTGGAGCTAGAAGGGCAGGTTTCCATATTTCAGGACAGCTTTCTGATGTTTCTGTGGATTTTCCTTTTCTGAGACACCAGTCAGACACAGTATGTTTGCAGGATACAGAAGGCTAATGAAGCACATCAAGATGATGATGGTACAACAGAGGATGAGTAGCAGGATGATGCTCCTTCCCATCCCATCTGTTTTCAGAAACAGTAACAAACAGACAAGCATTAGGCAGGGCAGAGGGATAAAACTGGTCTCTACATGGTTTATTTATTATTCAAAAGTGACTCCTTGCAAGATTGAGGATCTACCAGCTATCTTTGTTACATCAAGTTACTTCTTCAGATCCTCTCAAAAGACCACCAACTACTTCTACTGAACCTGGATAGCTTTTCTTGTTGGAAAGCAAGTGTTAAAAAAATCCCAACTAAACAAAAAAAACACCACCTGACCAGATTGGGTCAGATTTCTGTTGCTGGTAGTCCACTACAGATTTCTGGTCCAGATTTATATATCTGTGCAAATATGATAATTTTTTATCCCATTTTCCATTTCTCCCATCATCTCAAGTTTTATTATATCTTAAAATCAAAGTACAAGTACCCAGTAAGGCTAAGATAATATAAGACAATTCATTCTCATCCACCTGTTGGAAATATGGAGAAACATTTCTATGCTTCAGTGATATCATACAACCTGAAATCCATTAAGATCAGTAACAAATACATAGAATATCATGCAGAGTTATGATTTTCTGCAGTGGTCCATCTGTGAACTCTACAGGTCCATCTCATCTTGTCTCACAAGAAGTCTGCAGCAGTTCCTGGGGAAAACCAGGTACACAGGCAGAATGGAAAGACATTAAGTATACTGAACACCTTTAATAACATGTGGCTCTGAAAAATACCCCAGCTGAAAATACATACTAGAAGAACCACAAATACATGGTATCCCTGTTCTTACTATTCCTTAAGCACCTGCTCACACAAAGAATTAGGTTTCACTCAATATTAAGCTTTTTCTCAGGTTTTAACCTTATTCAACAGTAATATCTAATTCAGTTTGTCCATTCTTCAAAACTTTACCAAACGCCTCCATAGCCTTCACTTCTTTACATGTTGCTTGGGTAGGGTTGGTCAGTCCCTCCCAACTCTGAACTCTGGTGACTGCCTGATGGTTCATGATGCTGTCAAGCATCTGGCAGCTAACTCTGTCTTGGCATAGCTGGAGAAGTTGAAAGCATCAGGAGTGACACCGCAGCTTCTGCTGAGCTGGACACCACATATCCTTGACTTGCAAACATTCTCCCTTCAATACCTGAAACACTGCTGGTCCACAGTTTCTCCAAAGAAAACAGAAGTTATTTGCCATTTGCTGGACAGCATTCTTCTTCCTGCAGGCAGTATCATTCCCAGCAATTCAACCTGAGTTTTTCTAGCTTTTCTGGATGACACTCACCTTCCTAAGCAGAAGCAGCACTGCTCTAGTAGATGAGTAAGTGGAGATTATAAAAGGATGTGCAAAACCAAGTGCACACATGCACAGGGAAGAAAGATGGTGATCCTGGAGCCTGGACTTGCCTAGATGGACCCATGGTCTGACTCACTTCAGTAACTTTTATAACGTTTCATTTGTAAATGCACACAATACTGTAAATTAGAAGTTTGCACTAGTTCCAACTGCACCTTTAACAATACCCTCAAGGATTTTATAAGTACAAGCTATGAAATGAAAAAGGTATTAGTGCTATTCCCACATGGGAGCAGAGATCCACCTGCAGCCTGTGGAGGACCCTGCACCAGAGCAGGTGGATGCCCAAGGAGGCTGTGACCCTGAGGGATGCCCATGGTGGGCCCATGGTCCTCCTGGCAGGACCTGTGGAGGACCCACATGGAGCAGCCTGTTCCTGCAAGACTGCACCCCATGGAAGAGACCATCACTGGAGCAGTTTGTGAACAACTGTAGCCCTTGAGAAGGACTCATGTTGGAAAAGTTCCTGGAGGACTGTGTCCTGTGGGAGGGACATCCCACACTGGAACAGGGAAGGGCTCCTCTCTCTGAGGAGGAAGCAGCAGCAGCAGAAACAACCTGAGATGAACTGACTGTAGCCCCCATTCCCCATCTCCCCTGACTGAGCAGGAAGGGCTGAGGCAAAGGACTGGGGATGAAGTTAAGCTTAGTAAGGAAGAAGGGGTGGGGGGAAGGAGCTCTAATTCTAATGGTAATAAATTCAACTAATTTTCCTAAGCTGAGTCTGTTTTACCCATGACAGTAACTGGTGAATGATCTCCCCCCACCCTTATCTCAGTCCATGAGATTTTGTTGTATTTTGTCTCCCTTCTCCAACTCAGAAGGGAGTGACAGAGTGGCTCTGGTGGGCACCTGTATCTAGCCTGGATTAACCCTCAACACAAATCCATCTAACCAGCTCCCCAGAATTCAATGGCTTTTTGATGATTAATCAAAAACAGAAGAAAAATAAATCCTACCTCACATTTGGTACCATCACCTTCCCAATGTGACAGAAGATGAATGGCTGTGCTGGCAAAGCACAATAAACATGAAGTATCACACAGACACTTAGATGACAAGCAGCAGGTTATAAAAGTAAGCTAAAACCTTCACATGAGCATGTGCTACCTCTTCAGTCTCACAAGCTGGTTCACAGTACTGGTTTCTGGCATAAGGGATCTGGTTCAGCTACACAGTAGCTTTACTAAAAACACAGAGAGAAAAACCACCAAAACATTATTTTTCTTTAAATAGTTCAAGAAACTGCACAGTCTTCTAGGGTAAGTTCACACAAGTGTCCAAACCACTTCGTGTACAATGGAAATGCCTTCTTTGAAGTAATGAGACTTCACATCACTCTGGTGAAGAGTTTTCAAAATCAGCCTCACCAGGCTCTGTGCTGAGGCCCTGTGGAAGCAAAAACCAAATCCTTGCAGCCTGGTTTAGCATCTTTAAACACAGAGGCATAAATTCTGTCAGGGATCAGGACTCCCAGAGAACACCACACATTTCAAGAGTTCTTGAAGGAAAAGAGGGAAAGCAAGTTCTTGCAGGGAAAATGACTAATATTGAAAGAGTCCCATTTTCTGTCCTTTAACATACTACAATTTTGCTTATTTGGCAGCCGTTTTCAAGCAGGTTAAGTTTCAATTCTTACCTACAGCCAGTGCTGCACTCTGTTCTTGGCCTCCAGTCTGTTTTAAAAAGAAAAAAGAGATTATGGAAATTAATTCTTTTACACCAAAAGTCTTAAATGCAATGCAGTGTGACCTTGGAAAAGCAAACACACATCTGCTCCAGACACACTGTTCTTATGTATCTACTTCATAAACACAGTCCTGGATCCATACACCACCAGGACTTTTAAAAAATATGCTAAGAAAATGTAATTCAGAACTGTGTTTTATCTCTAGGCATACAAATAAATAGGGAATGCCATTATTTGGCAATGAATGTGCTTCCAGGGAAAAATTAGACAATGCATAAACACATATATTCCAGAATAAATTTAATAACTTAAGAGTCAAAGCTGCAATAAAATACCAGTGGCAAACTGTTCTGCTTGCATTTCACATTGCTTTAGCAAGAAAATCACACAAGATTCTAATCCAACCACACAAATGTGCACTTGAAAAAATTCAAGGCTTGCATGCTGACCTCCAGAGAAGGCATTTTCAAGTCACTGAAAACCATTTGCTTAACAAAGAAAACTAGTGTTCTTGGACAGCATCAGTGTGCTGCACACATCATTACCACCGTCATAACATGGTGAAATAATTATGTTAACAGTACAGTTTAAAGGAGAAGGTTTGGAGTATTACAGTAACTGCAAGCTTCACAGGAAATAATAGTGTAACATTAGCTAGGGAAGGCTCTGAAGGTACACTGCAACACAGGCAAGGAGCAGAGTGGGGACTTTAGTGAGAATGACTCTTCACAGCCCAGAGCACTGAACATAAGCAAAACCATGACCATCAGACAGTTACAACTGTAGAAATTTAACTCTCCATTATTTTCAGTGCACACTTCTCTCTCAAAGAAGTTTTCCCCTTGACCAGCCTTAAGTTTGGGTAGCAGCTGCTTTTGCCCTTTTCCTATTGACTTCAGCTTCCCCTTACTTCCTCAAAAATAGGCAACAGCCAGCACTTCAGGACAACATGGTTAACAGCACTGTCCTTGTAGGAGCTACTGCAATTCCCTAAAATGCACCCACTCACATTGGGCATATTTTAAATATGGGGGGTTTTCTCCCTTCTCATGACTTCAGACTGCTCAATTTGTGCCTTGAGACAGCACAACAAAAATAAAACTCTGGAAATTGCTAGTCCCCTGCAGGTCAGGGCTGAACACAACTGGCATTGCAAAGAGAAACTGAAACCAAAGTGTGACCCAACACTACTCTAAGCTAATTTCCTGAAAAAGAGTGAAAGAAAAGTCAGATAGGACTGGGCTTTAAACAAAAACAAGAAGCCTAAATTCATTAGAATGAGCAGACTATAGAAATAAATTTGAAAGTGAAAGGAAAAAAAGCCCACTGTAGCAGCTAGCTTAGGGACTTTCAAAAAAAAGTGTCCTCTAATGGTACTAGTTCATTTCTACAGAAATACACCTATTTCCAACTGATAGAATTATTAGCAAAAAAAATGAGGTCAGGTCTTTCCATCTTTCTGGACACAGTGCTGCACACATAGAGACATGAGCACTTACACCTGCAAGAACAACGTGCTGATGCTCAGGTGGCTGGTCCTGAAGGCTTCAATGAATGAGTGGAAGTTAATAATTAACAAAGCCTTCTAGGACTCCTGTGGTAATGAAGGCAGGAGGAGAACAGCAAAGCCATTAGGCAAAAGGGAAGCAGCCAGGAAAGCTGAGAATTATAGGTCAGTTGGACTGTCATCAATAACAGGCAGAGATGTTAGCACAGGAATCCATTAACTGGTTTCCTATCCTTTAGTAGCTATGAACAAGCCTTTGAGCAAAACAGCTCACACTGAGCACTGCTGATGCTTGGTTTATCCTGGCAAGCTGACAGGTATTTGATTTTTTTACATAGTGTGACTTCACATCACAGTATTTTAAATTTAGAGGTTGGCACTGAGCAATATAATAAAGCACTGCCTAAATGGATAAGAAATTGACTTGCTGATCTCTAGTCAGGGAGGAACACCAGCAAAGATGCATTAAAAATACACAGATGTGAAATGATTGGTGAACTGGCTTCTTTTCAGAATTCATTTTTGCACTTTGGATACACCTTGATTTAGACTAAGGAGTTTCTAAATGAAGAACTCTTTCTGGTTCAACATGCACTATTTGGGTTTTCATGCTGGGATAGAGGATTTGCAAAACCTCTGAGCTTCCTTCTGACTTATCCTCAAGGTTTAGATCTGCAGATTATTATAGAAATACCACAAACAGGCACAAGATGAGACATGCAAACTACACAACTTAATAGGCAGTGAAAATTGAATAATTCAGACCCAGCATTTTTCAATTCCTTGTGATTCTGAGGTAGTCAAATATTTAATGCTACATTACAGAAAAAAAAAGTTCTGGGCAGGAAAATTAACTTTACTCAATGGGTTACAGCTCATGGAGTCAAACAGCAGACAGATTAATGCATCCCATCCCAGGGATCTCATTTAGCCACACAACCCCTTCCCTTGAACTGCAGCCTAACTTCACCACAGCAGAAAGAGGCCAAAGCATGTGCCAATACCTCAGGCCAACTACAACAGAAATTCAAACAACTGTCACAGCAGCTGAAGAACCAAAATGGAAAACTGTCTAGAGCCATCAGAGAGGGACAGTGAACCATCTACATGTAGCATAACAGAAACAAAACCAAGCATCATTCGGTTTGTCAGAGCACAAGCCTGCAGCTGACAAGTCAGATGGTACCCAGATAAAAAAGATGCAGTAAGTAAACTTGGCATCATTGTGAATGATGAAACTGGAGGAAAAAACCTCAATGAAAATTGGCTAACCGCTGAGTAAGCCCTGTGCTTTGGGCATCCACCTCATATTGAACTGATGCTGCTTAACTCAGCAATACATGGAAACAGATTGCACATGAGAACAGCAAACCATGAACTTCCAGTGTGAAACCACTGTCCTCTGCCCAGCTCTGGCTGAACTAATAAAGGAGCCTCAACTCAGGCACAGACTTGTCAGTGACTGTCACTCATGAATTGCTGCAGAATGATGATTTTTTCAGGCTTTCCAACACTCACGTTCTGAAAACAGTGAGTGGTAAGAAAGAATCATCAACAACTTTGCACCAAGAATCTAAATTACTTTGCCTACTCAACTGGTACCTCAGCTCATCAGGGAACTCCAGAAAGTATGAACTTCACAAAGCTTACAGCACTTACTAGCAAAAGCTTGCATGGGATTCATGTACTCTCTGTGAAACACTGGGCACCCAGACTAAAGCTGTTCTCAAAACAAGCAGACTGCTGCTCTGACAGAGCAAATGTTTCAATTCCTGGTTTGCAGTTCAAGCCTGCACTGGGACCCCTCTGGGTAAGCATCAGCACCTTGAAATCCATGTGAACCAGTTGTGGACCATGGCACAGATGTTCTCAGTTCATTCATGCCAACAGCTCCTGGATACAGAAGAGAACAGGATCTAGCTCAAAGTCCACCTGCCTTGGCAATTTTTAGATGTTCCTGCTCTCTTGGTTCAGTTTCAGACTTGAAATAAAGTTTGTGGAAACAGCTCTAAAAAACTTGCTACCCTTAGAAGCACACACTAAAACATAAAAACCAAGCCCAGTCCAAAAGAGAGCCACAAGTCAAATACATCCCACATCTTGTGAGTAATAAAAAGAGAAAAGTCAGAAATGTTTAGTAATAAAATTTGATTTTTACTTCAGTAACAATAACAGATGTCTAAGCTATAAAAAATAATTCATTGCTAGGATCATATTTCAAAGAGAGTTTCAGAGCATCTGCAGATGAACCCATGGCTCAAAGCTAAATGGATGAACTCTGGTGTTTAACATCAGTGATTGTAGCAAAGATCCTTCTATATCTGTATGGCAATTGTATATGAGACTAAGATTAGCCAAGCAGGCTACCACTACTGCAAAGTGACCTCAGTTCTTCACAAAGAGCAAATGTACTGGTTGCTTGCTATAAAACCACTTTTCTGACTTCTGATTGTAAAGCTCCAGCTCAAATCTTTCTTCTCCATTCATTTTCATTTATCTTGGTGAGGCAAAATTGCTTCTTAGAAGTTCAAATGTTATATTAAATCTTTCCCTATCCTGTGTAATTTCTCAATGCTGCTGCCACAGTACCTAACATTACCTGCTACACTCAAATTCATGTTTTAAATTTGTAATTTAATGACAGAAATGGACTGTGAATGCATCAGAGGGCCTACTGTTCCACTACAGTTTTTCAAGCTTATTTCATTTTCCCTAATTATTATACTTTCACGGGATACCTTATCTCTAAGCTGTTACTGTTGCATAGCAGCTTCACTTCATATGGTATTAATTTCAAGGTTGGGGTTTTTTTAACACCTTTTGTAGTTAATGCATCACATTATATTGTTGTGGACTTGGCAGTGGAGGGTGATGGTTGGACCTGACCTTGCATGCCTGTTCCAACCTAAAAGATTCCTTGAAAGCTTTCAGAAAAGTTTACATGCTGCACTGTAGACCAATAGGAGGGACACAAGGTTTTATACATATACCCCTTCCAACAACTTCAGAAAAGAAATAAAAAAAAAAAAGGGAAAATGAAAAGATATTTGAGAAGCTTGTATGGCAGAAGTGGATATTCACACAAAACTAGTATTCAGCATGAAAATTTGTATTTTCATCCACTTACACATAATGATTTGTTTCTGGGACAAACCATTACTTTGGTTTAGTGGAAACAGTAAAATGAACTATCATAATCTTCATTTTTGCATCTCAAAGCTCTACAAACCTGCAAGTTGAACATCAAGTACAAGAGATTTTTTTAACCAGATCAAAAAGTTAAATATTGCCAAATAAACTTTTTCACTTATAGAAATAAGCTGAGAAAACAAAGGTTGGGTAACCAGAAGACAAGTAAGGAATTACAGTAACGCAGAGATGGGGCTTCTTTAGCTGTTTAATTTAGAGTTGTGTTTTAGTTTGTGTTTGGTTGCTTTTTTTGGTAGTGGAGTAGAGGGTAAAGCTGTGCTACTTTAGTC